CCCCAAAGCCGCCATGGACTGGCTCAAAGACGGCGCGTGTCTCGAGTCCACGTACCCCTACACCGCCCAGACCGGATCGTGCAGCACTAGCTGCGCCAAGACCAAGCTCAGTTTTGGTCAGACCATCAAGTCTACAGGTGAAGACAAGCTCGCGAGTGCGCTGGACTCGCAGCCCGTGTCGGTTTTGGTCGAATCAGGCAACGCAGTGTGGCGCAACTACAAGAGCGGCGTGGTCACCCAGTGTCCTGGAGGTCATTCCGACCACGCCGTCATTGCTGTGGGCTACGACGCCACGTCGTTCAAGATCAAGAACTCGTGGGGGACTTCTTGGGGGAACGGCGGGTACATGACCCTCAAGCGCGGCGTGGGCGGCAAAGGCATGTGCAATGTCGCCGAAGCCGTGGTCTACCCCGCCTTGGCCGGCGACGTCAAGCCCACGTCGCAGTCCCCCACGCCGTCGACACGCAAGCCGTTTCCGACCTCTCCCTCTTCTAGTACCCGCAAACCCTTTCCCAGCTCGTCCAATGCCCCTCCCACGACCAAGCCCCGCCGTACGCGCAAGCCCAGGGCCAGCAAGGGTGGTCATAGCGGAGCTTACCCCTCGGACAATTAGATCCAAAGTCGCTGATTGTAGCTCCAGTAGTCTAGCTTTCATCACTGCTATTCGTGTCATTAGGGTTATTGAGTTAACATGCAACCCTCCAAACCAACCACTTGTCTCTTGGAGTGCCTTGGGTGTGTCAGTGTTGGTACAGTGCGCGTCAGCTAACCGTAAACCTATAAGGTCCAAAACTGCTCCGTACAAATCATCAAGTGAAAAATCATTATACGTAAAACGTTAGCTATAAGTTAGCTCTATAAATCGATATTGTCAGATCGATTCGAAACTGGAGCCCTCAGCAGAATCGAATGTCTCCTGAGAATGGATTAATAGTGTAAAGAACCGCCTACCAATCCAACCTGCGAATATTCTACTACCGGATACAGTAGGCATTATCCGGTACAACACAGCTTATCCGAGTATGAGACCACTTACAGTTAATGCAGTAAGTAGTCTTACTGTATTTGGTTTTCAATTTGGGACTTTCCTTTCGATTGAAAGCTGACCAACTCTGGCCTCCATACATTTGGTCAATTTTGCAAATTCCGCGATTGGCTTCTATTGCTCTGTATTGGAAGTCCTTCAATACTAGTCGATTCGTCTTGCGTAAACTATTGTTCATTTCTTCATTTCACCCAATTTGGGCTTGGGAGTCATTTCGCCAAATAGAATTCGAATCCATTTGATCTAATTTAAGCTTGTGTACAAACTTTATACAAGTACAAAGATTAGTATAGATCAGACTTTGTCCAATGAGGAGGGACTACAGTACTGTATGTAACGTAGATGGTCAGCTTATGGTACTTGAAAGTCGTTCGTGGAATAGGACCATTTCATTTCAAAGTTGCTTCATCAAGCTGAAATGTTGGGCATTCTTTTTTACTAACTTTAGTACACTGTACTATTAAATCAGCTTCACAGTCAATAGTCATCTTGGTTTCATTTACAATGATTTCCACTCAAATCAAGACAAAATAGATGGATGGGGCCATTTATTGTGCACGGCTTGAGCTTAAAATATGTATGCGATGTTTGCTTATTTACTGGCGATTTCATTTTTCTAACGATTCGATTGGCTGCTTTCGAAGTAAAGCAATTCCATTGGCCAATTTGAGTGCATCCCAAGCACATGAATACAGTAGTTTATTTACTAAAGCCTCTGATATGTTATACTAGTATTAGCAAACTTCTACAACAAAATGTTGCCTCTAACACTTTTTATTTCCTGAAGAGAAACCATGCGCTAAACTTCAAAGGTTACTCTGGAGTAGTAGACGCAGGCAGGGTTGGTATTCCAGTGATGTTTGGTTGCAATGCCCATTATAGTAGTGAAAGAAGTTGACATGATCATGTGAATGAGAAGTTGGTCTCCAGAGTGGAAAGCATCTGGTACTTTTGAATGTACATGGTGTAAATGTAGTGCTCACTGTTGCATTCCGAGTGAAAAACTACTGTAACAATGTTAATATATATATAACGTTATAAACACTTATCTGCACAGTTAGAAGGTGTGCGATCTTGGTTCGTTTCACGTAGCAATTTTCGATTTGAACTAGTGTGTATGGTACGGTCTTTGATGGAGTACTACCATTTGAGCATTTCCGCCTCCACGAGTGCCTTGATTTCGTCGTCGACAAAGTAATTTTCCATGTCGTGGTATTTCTCGACGTAATGTGGAAACGTGTCTCGAAATACAGTGTTCTGTGGATGGCAATTGAAGGCCAAGCTCGCGTCCGCCAGTTTCCTCTTGTCGTCGCGCGACGATTCAATGCTTCCCGTGGTTCGCGTTTGCTCGTTCATAAACGAAAACAGACCAACGAGGATCGTGCCGACGTTCCACGCTGGGTTCCATGACTCGGGATGGTAGTCTGACATGCTCAAGCACAGCCTCTTGTTCGTCTTGAAGCGCCCGTTCGGCGTCAGCATGTATATTGACGGGGGTTTCCACGGGTACTCGGTCGGAAAGATCACTTTTCCATGGTAGTACCCTCCGTCGTACACCCCCACGCCGCGAATCACATAATGCCACTCGAGGATGCTTGACTCCAGCGGCACGGCTTCGATGTTGTCGATGGGATTGCTCTGCAGATCGATGTATTCCTTCCTTAGGCGCTTCGCCGCGAAGTCCATGGCAATGCGAAAATCTTCTCAACTTGCACCATGGCGGCGTTTCATTGGTCGACGACTATCGTTCTTCAACAAACAAAATATTTCTCTGTGTCACTATCATCTATATATAATATATTGTCGTTTTGCATTAAATTCCCCATTTTTTCATATAATTCACATCTGATTGGCTAATATCCACTTCACCCTTTCCGCATGGTATAGAAAAACGAAAATATTGGATTGTAGCCAACCAGCAACAAGTATTTTCGGATTGACCAATGGGAGAACCGAATCTCCAAAATTGTTTTCAAAACAATTGATTATTGGCACGTAGCTAACAGTAAATAGTTATTCCGAACGTTCGAAATTCATTTTCAAGCGCTGCTTGCATGATATCCCACGCAGGTATGTAACGACGCTGACAATGCATCTCGTAGGTGGATCTCACGCATCGCGTCGTCGAGCTTGGCCATGCTGTCGTCGGTCGAATTGGTCGGAATGGCCTTATAATATGCCTTGCACACGAATGTGGTTAGTTACCCAAGAGCTACAAAAATATCATTCGACTGTGCCCATAAATGAAGACGAAGGTTCAAGTAGTTACTACAGATTATATAGTTATACCATCCGCATTGGTCACTGACAAAACTGTTTGCAGTAAACGCCATCGTCCTGCAACACTGTGCCCCACCCCAAGCACACATTTTAATTGTCCATTACAACTGTCTTGACGATATCATGTTTATCGCAACCTGCGATGCCACCAAATACCTCGACCGAATGTACAGCGTGTTGGCATCAATCGAGTACGTTTACAAGACTCAGTAGTAGGCCAATGGAGCTACTGTACCTGTATGAATATGTATATGATGGGGAGTAATACTGTTAGTGCATAAGATTCATTCGGCACAGTTGCGACGCGCGGCCCTTGGTCTGCATATACTGTGTTCCATGCATGACCGAGCAGGCCATGCCTTCCGCCGTCGTTTGCAGGCCAGCATCGTTGGGGTTACTGGAACGACTCACACTTGGCGAACATGTCCACGAGGCCGCATGTGAGCATGTCCGAATCGACAGAGTCCAGTTGACGGTCCGCGATGGCATGGATGGCCGTGAGTCGCTTCTCGCCGCCCGCGCCCAGCTGCAGCACCCGCCACGAGTCGTCTTGGAGCTTCATTACCTAATCATGCAAGTGCGTGTGTGAATCCAACGACAGTTGTATTGCGATGGATCGTTCCATGAACCTAGGATTCTTGAGCACCAAGGACTCCAATTGTTGCTGGTAGGACGGTTGCTGGTAGGACGGTTGTTCATGTAGCATCGCACGCAGCTCGTCGTTCTCGCATAGTGCTTCGATTTTGAGCACCAGTTGAGTCCGCGCGAGGTGCTCTCATCTCGCGACGTCGGACGTTGAGTGCGCCATGCGCCGCGCCCGCTGCTGCTCCAAGTCGACCTCGTCGTGCTGCAATGGCAGCAGTTCGACCAGCAGTTTGTTCGTGCGCTTCTTTGGGGGGGGCGGTTTTTTCAGGGTCATGGCTTGGTCGTCGTCTTGGGAAATGTTCCCGCTACTAGTGGGGGTGGTGGATGCCATGTCATGCTGTGGAAGAGAGACTCATCGATGTCAGGAAGGAATTCAAATCCACCATCGGTTGTCGACATGTGCGAGTCCAAATGATTGTGAATCGGGTTTGATTGGCTAGAATTATTTGATTACAATCGAATAATAATCCAATCAACATTACCTATAGTCAAGTTGTCCCGTTGCAGATTGAACTCACTAAACTTTAGTGAATACAAGATATATTGCCAAAAATGGTTTCACTTTTGGACTGAACAGTCCAAATTTGAGTGAGAAGGACAATACATTCGAAGTAGCAAGTGTCCCTTAAAATCCGTCGCCCCCTGTATCGGTTTCATGTTGACGTACTAGCACACGTTTCGATATCGGGTTCACAGTTTAATATCTCTAAATGTAGCCGAACCAATTACAGTACTGCACCACGCCGTTGGCACTGCTCTGATTCTAATGGTTTACACAAAGCAAGGTAAAAGATGTTTCTGTCCGACGAATAAACATGCCACAACCACACGATCGATGCTTACAGTTCTCAACATTCGGGCACTTCACCTGGGCTCAGCCACATCTCAATGGTAGAGCGAGTTATTTTGGAGTATTTTGTTATTTTATAAAAACAGATAAAACTCCAAAGCAAACCATTTGCATTTTTCATTTTATACTAATCCTGAATTTCGGAATTGGCATTGAGGACTTCGATTTCAAGGACTCCATTGAGGAGTTTACTGTCGAGTGTGCATCCAGAGTCTACACTGAGCCCTCTGGAATCGATAACAGCAAGTGTCAAGGAATTGTGATAGGTCCAGTTGTACTGTACATGGTCAATCAGCGTCACTCGACTCGTCGACACAACATAAGGCTATTCATACTGCCAGATGTCGAGTGGAAGGCTATCGATAGCGAAAGCTGGACCCACAGGCACGGCATGTGTAGTATCCGACTATCGCTAGTACCTGGTCACTTCAAGCGCTACCATGTAGGGTGAGTCATCCGGATAATACCCGGGTGTGATTTTTCCTTGGGCCAAAGTAGACACGCCATAGTGCCTCGACTTGACAGAGACTAACTACAACGCGTTTAGACTGCTTCGAGTGTCCTACAATCTGTCTGGAAGTGGCAACGACTACGAAAACACTGATAACTAATTAGTCCATAAAAAAACTGTCTTTTGTTTTGTTTTTTTTCGAATAAGGGCTGGTCTAGATGCCACCCCATAAAATTATGCCATAAACCGTTTTGGCAAGTCTGCAAAACCTTCCCAAAGTCTCATATCCCATGAAAAACAAGGAGAAATGAAGTATCTACAAAGATGTCTGGATGGCAGTTGACTTATGGAAAAACCATTCGATTTTCGATTGACGAGCAAGACTTCAACGTGAACACAAACCTCCATAAAAAAAAGTTCGACCAAATCAGTCCATTTTTTTATGCCATAAAACACCCGATTCTCAAGCAAGTTGTGGCATAAAGATTTGAAATTTGGTGGCATCCAGAGGCACAAAATCTCGAAAAATGGAATATTTCGATTTTGCCCACTTTTTTCTTCGAAAAACGGCAATTTTATGCCATTTTTTATGGCATCAGACCCGGCCTAAAAGAAAAATCTAAAAATGGTCATTGGGTCTGCTCAACCCAAAAGGCAGGTTTCTTGTGTTCGATGAGTCTGGATGTCAACAAAAAGGCCAAAATCTTCGATATTTTGGCAATTTCTAAGAAATCGGCAAAAATTAAAAAAACAATCCATCTAGATCCAAAATTTCTCCATCTCGATCGAAATTTTGGAGAATTCATTAACCAGAAAAAGCAAGGTGAAAATAGGCAATTTTGTATGCAGCGCAAGGTGAACCACCTTGCGAATTCCATACTTGTAAATATTTTTTCTGAAATTATTTTGTAACGTTATCAATTAACTGTAAATATATCTTCAAGTTTGTACTCGTGTTTCTTTATTTTTCATTGTTTTTAGAATTTGCACAGTGAACTGCCTTGCGAATTCAAAAATGTCCAATTTGTCAAATCAGATGCCGTTTATTCATCACGCCCTGTTGCGATACATTCTACTCCTGTGATGGCGGTTGATGCAAGGAGCATTAAGATAATTATGAAGGCTGTGTATCAGAGCAAGATCATGTGATGTAGTATTGAGGACCCTGTCAATTCTAACAGGCGTTCGATGATGCAGCTAGCTCGTCGTCGGTTGCCATCAGCAGCTGCTCCACACGCGCCCCAAACGCTCTAGACGAGGCGTTCATGATGTCCTTGGCCAGTTCCGCGGGACTCATGTCCTTGGCAAACGTCTTGCCCTTGTCCAAATGTACGGATTCCAACAACGCCAACAGGTCGTCGAATTCTTTAGATCCGCTCGGGGGATGCTGATCTCGTGCAGAGGTGGCCTTGGTGTATGTAGCACATGAGAGTCGTCGCCGTTCCCACTTGTTGGACGTCAAACCTATAACCACCGCCATCAGCAGCAGCTGCAGTTGACCCACGGCCTTGACGTTCGTTACCATCCATATTGGTCGCTGACATAACTGTCGGCCGCAAATGGATGTGCTTCGTCGTCCAAGATGCTCCGAAACACCAGGCGGACGTGGTTGCAGTCCACCATTCGCCTCTTCAAGATCACGCTGGACTCGACTTTCACAGATGTGCCGGTGCTTTCAAACGTGACTCGAACATAAATCGTGTCTTGATCAATCGCAAACGACTAGTTCCATGCATTAAGACCCACTAGATGATCATGATTGGAATGAAATTACATGGGTGTTCTGATCATGTATTGGCGATGTCATTGCCATCCACACGGCATCTGCTACAGAGGCCACCGATCTTTGATACTGCACGCAACGCATTCCTTCGACGTAAAACTGATCTGGCCCTGTACTGACGTGGCGGTGAGAGAACGCTCCGTCGTCAGATGAGGTGTCCATGAGTCCCGTCGTGACCAATTGCTAAATGTCTCTAATAGAGACATTTAGCAAACCTGTAATTTGATCAAATTCCCGAAATTAACTACGTTCGAATTCACTTCGGGAATTTGATTCGGATATTTGAAGTTACACCTTTAGCAATCACGGAATTTGCAATTTCGATGCCAAAACCATTTCTAACAAATTAAACCCCGTTCATTGGCTTCGTAAGAGTAAGAGTTGACGATTAACCAGTCGTAACGATGCGTCCGCGTGCCGCTCTCCTTGCTGCATGAGACCAAGTACCCAAGATCAACTACCGCAGTGCCCGTGAGCATCACGCCAACATGCTCACGG